CTGCCTGGTAGCTTCCTTCTGAGAAATATACAGTATCTGTCCATGTTTACAGATGCACATCCGTAACCTTTAGTTTTGAAGCCACATGATATTCCATACCATAATTAACTAACTCGGGATTGTAGGCATTGTAAACAATGACTCAAGGGAGGTCCCCAAGCACTTGTCCAATTATAGCCTTAGTCAAGTGCTCAGTCAGGGGCTCCATCAAGGAAGGCTGTCCAAGCAGAGAGAGTGAGCCACTCCAAGGATGTGAAAAACTGTCTTCCAAAACCTCTGCTCTCCACATGGATCTTTCTTCAACTCCTCGTCGTTCCTAAGAAACTGCATAGTGTTCAGGAAGTTAGACTGTCTTTTCCACAGAAGCTGTCCTAACCTCCCCTTCCAGGCCTTCCCTGGCCTCACATATTGCGTGGGCCATGAAGGGAAGGCGGGGTTATCCTGGGTCAACGTCCACTGAACTTCTTATCCAGCAGGAGACCCTAGCACCTCTTGAGGGTACCCAGGGATGCACACCTGTGAGGATGGACACATGCTTTTGGAAAAGCTTTCTGTTCTTCAAGATTTCAGTCTTGAGTAGACGTTTAAACCTCTCCTTAAAATGCAATGGACCCTTCCTAAGGAAACCCAGGGCTAGAAGGGAACCACCTTAATCCCTTGCCTTTGAGTTGTGGAAGTAAGGCCCAGAAAGACTCAGTGTAAATGTCTCGATAACCAACTTAGGTCCCCAGAACTGTCTCACACGGTGGTTCAACCAAGTCAGAGCAAATTTTGGACACCCAGGACAGTCATAACCCTCCCCGTCTCTGTGCGTACAACTGAAAGTGAGGTGCTGGTGTATCCTGGCTCAGCTATGGCCAAAGGAGTCACACAACTCATGTCTTGCCAACTCAACGTCCAATGATTCCATGCCGATAGCTAAGAACCAGCCATAACAGAAATATTTACATTCCAGAAACAGGTGAGCACCCCAAGGCAAGGCTTCCCCACACCCCACTTCCGAGAGCTGGCCATTACAATGCTATGGTGTATCACTGATCACAACCTAGCTATGCACCCCCGAGATGCTGACCTCCATTTTCACACCTAACAGCTTCTCTTTCTGAACCTAATTCCCCGTGTTCCACCATCATACACACTCTCAGATCCATCACAGCCTCCTTCGTATTCATCAAAGAACCAGGAAATGTTTTCCTGAAGGCCTGAGGTGTGCCAGGCCCTTTTCTGATGGCAGGTGACAGTTCATTGTCTTCAGAATATCACTAGGGGATAGCTATCAGAATTTCCATCTTATGAATTTTAAACTAAAATCTAAAGTCTATTTTAGGTAGAGTTCCCCCAGAAGCAGAGACAAGAATTCAAGTTCAAGTGTAAGGAGGATGGGTATGTGAGACAAGAAGGGGGACACAGTGATGGATGGCTCAGTGGTTAAGAGCACTGACTGCTGTCTAGGCCAGGTTCAATTCCTACCCACTACACGGCAGTTCACAACCATGTGTAGCTCCAGTTCCAGGAAATCCAATGCCCTTATCTGGCCTCTTCGGACACCAAGCACTCCCATGGTGTACATACACACAATGCATGAATTTACCTATACTCATAGAATAAAAAAAAAAAAATCTTTAAAAGAAAGAAAAAAGAGAAAGAGTTATTCCTGGGAGCAGTTGGAAAAGTGTCCCAAGAAGGAACTTTAGAGACAGCACAGGACATGTCCCAAAGTAATCCCATCAGAGTGAGGGGACTGGGGTGTATTACAGAACCCCTCCCATTGGTCACTGGTAGAGGCCAAGGACACAGAAAGAGACACTGACCAGATCTACGACATGATCCATATCCTTCAGCTAGAAAATAAAAGCAAGGAAGAAAACTCCCAACCCATTATACCTATAAAAAGGAGCAGTTAACTAAACAAACACAACTGAGTGCCAACCATTGGTAAAACCACACAGGGATGAAATATGCCTACTTTGCCAAACACTTTGGGTTGACACAGCCAAAGAGAACACGCAGTGTCTTCTGTCAGTCATTCAGTGGGGAAGGGGGGACTTGGAAAACATTAGAAAAATGTCCTTCACTCTCTGGTTCAGCCACAGTTGCCTTGAGCAAGAGTCCACAGCAGCCCCAAACTACTAACCCAAGCAACTGCATCAAGTTGTGCTTATAGGCTCTGGTTTCTTTGTCCAGGGATGATCAGCAGTAACCCATTCGATAGAGTCTAAGCATGTCCATGTTTATTGTACCCACTGCTCCATCCGCTACCCCATCCCCACCCCCGACAGCCATATCCTCTGAGGATACATAAACTGGCAGTCACAGGCTTAAGGGGTGAGCTTACCCTGCCTTAAGGTCTTTAAAAAATTCTTCTGGGAGTTAGCTGGGCAGCAATGGCATGTGATTTTAGCCTTTAGTCCCAGCATTTATGAGGCTGAGGCAGGAGGATCTCTGGGAATTCAAGGCCGCCCTGGACAGCCAGTGCTACACAGAGAAACAAAAACCAAACAACCAAAATAAAAACTTCAAGGAGTCAGGAAGGTGTTTATATGTGAGTGTGTCTGTCATTGGGGTAAATAAACGGAGCACATTGTGAAGGGCATCAGGAAATGGCATGAAGGACTGCTGCCTTGGCATCATAAACACAGCTGGGGCAGCTCTCCGCAGCTGAGACTTGAGATCAGAGACAGGACATTTTCTATTCCAAGCACATGACAAGCCCAGGTTTTCACTGGAGGAGAGGAAAGGAGGCTTGGGCAGGCCCTAAGGCTGTTCTTAGGACAACCCACTCTACTCCCTCTCAGCCTTTCCTTAGGACTCTGGCGGCCTCGCTCTGCACTATCCACCTCCATCTCCTCCCAAGGCTGGGAGGACACTTCCTGCCTAGGAATCCCAAAGAGGACTAGAAACAGCAATCAGCTCAGGTTCTTTTATGATTGGACAGAGGGTCTCCTTTCTGGCAAGTCCCAGAGTCTAGCCTGAATGAGAAGTAGCAGAAAGATGCCAAAGTACCGGCCTGGGCATCTCTAGCCGGGATTCTTAGCCATTCCTAAGTAACTTACTCACACTCACACAGTCAGACAAGGAGCCTGACTGAGGCACCAGGAAAGAAGCCAAAGTGAAACCAGCAGGCCTCTGAGATGCTGCAGACGGACCTAAACATCAGAGTGAGGAAGAAAACTGAAAACAAGGTGTGGCATCCACTGCCCTCCCCCGAAAATACCACAAAATAGAGGCACAGCGGGCACCTCTAAAGAGAAGCCACACTGAGATGGAGTGCAGTGTGCTTCGGAGGTCAGGGGTTCAGCGACATCACCCTGGGCAAAGTGGGGATGATGCTGGTGGCAGAAACCACAGGTGCAAGTACAGAGAGAGCATGCCCTGGCCATCCGGGCCACCCCACAGGTGCTGGCGTGGGGATCTCGGATACCCTGGTCTTCCAGTTGGGTTCTCAAGGCTGCTTCTCATCATTTGTGTTTGAACCCCATATTTTATTGTGTTTCTGCAGCACTCTTCTATTTGTTAACGAGGGAATGGGTGTGGCTTCTCACAACTCCCAGCACAGCCAATCTCAAATACTACCCCCAGGTGGCCGGACAGACTACACACTTGAACTAGCGCCAGAAACAGGTTTCTCTGCAGACTAAGGTCATCTCTCCAAGCTCAGCCATCGTTTGATGCTCCCCTCTACCTTCCTGAGACCCGTTAGACTGCAGCAGGTCCCAAGAATCAGGCTTTTGTCCAAAGGAGAAAACTGCCCACACTCAACAGCCCCGACTCTAGGGCCTCTGAGCTCAAATGGGCACCGCTCGGGAAGACACCACCGTCAGTCCCCTAGGACAGAAAAGAAGGAAGGAAGGGACCAAGGAAGAGAAGAGGGGCACTCTTCTCAAACTCAGTATAGCTTAGCCACGGAGGATTAACCCTCAGACCACCTGTAGGAAAAGTTTCCGCTTAAAAAATGTGGATCGAAAGTATGACAAATCAACCTCAGATTCCTCGTTCACATGCTCTTCAGAAAAGGTCCCCTGGCTGAATCTGGCAGCTGTGTTATAAGAACCGTGATTCGAATTCTTTCCTCCCACCGCCCCAGGACCAATACCGCAGGAACAGAGACTGTTCTCACAAGTTGTCATTTGTCCACCGCTTCCTCACGTAGGAATCCTCCCCTTGGGGGGTGCTTGCTTACCGTAACCCTGGCCTCTGCTCTCAGGGAAAAGTCGCTCTAATCCCCTGGTTTCCAGACGTTTGGGACTAAAGCGCACGCAGCGTTATGAAGCCTGGCGCTGAGCTTGCCACTGAAGCACAGAGGTGCTGTGGCCGGTCCAGATCCGTCCCTGTCAGGACACCCCCACTCTGCTGTCTCTAGGACGCTCTCGGGGTAGAGCTGGGTGCAGAATAAGCCCTCTAGATGCACAAGTGGCGAGGCCGCCTTTTGAAAGCACCTGCCTAGCTCGGCCTCCAGCGACCTCAGGCACCAGCTCTGGAGGGGACATGAAACCCGGGAGTGGGAAGTGAGCCTAAGCACTGCGCGCTTTGAAACTCTGAAGGCCAAGGCGGACCGGGCTGGTCCCGGCCGCTCCCGGCCGACCACATGGCCCTCACCCTGGGAGCCAGGGGGCGCATTACAGTCCGACCCTTCCCTAAGCTACCCAGGCCTGCACCTGCTGTCCCGCTCCACTTCGCCAGGGAGTTCGGGACACCCTGCTCCAGGGAGGGGGCACTCTCCTGCCACTGCATTTGGTGTCGACCGCAGAAAAGACCTCAAGGGGTCAGAGCGGCAGGATGAACTCCAAGCCACAACTTTCTACCCGGGGAAAGCGAGTGGGCTGGGGCGCCCGTCTGCTCTGCTCCTGGGACAGACCGCATGCCTAGGACCACCTTGTGGCTCCGGGGAGGGTTGGCGAGCGGGGACAGGAGAGACTCAGTGGCCCGGCCAGGCGGACCAAGGGCCTATGTGGGAAAACTTTGGGCTGGGTAGGGGGAGACAGGACCCCCGGCGCCCGCACCTTGCGTCCGCATCCCGCGCCAATACCCGGCTCCTCGCGCCCCACGCCTGGTGTCTTGCCTGCGTCCCGGGCCAGCTGCATCCGCGCGCGCCGCAGGGGTTGGAAAGTGGGGGCGCCGCTGCGGGGGTGGGGGGTGTTCCAGCGTGCTTGGCCAGCGATCCGCGAGACCCGCTCGCTCGGGCCGGGCTGGGCGGCGACAGCGCGGCTGGGGGCGGGCGCCCCGCCCTCCTGGTCCCACCGCCCCGCCTCCCCAAGCTCTGCCTTTATCTGCCGATCCTTGACCAACCCACTCGTCACCCTTGTAGCTCTCCTCTACCCACCCCTCTTCTCTCGCCTTTCTTCCCTCCTCTCCCTCCCCTCTAGGGGGCGGGGCTTCTCCCCTCCCAGCAAGACAGACAATGCTGTGGCTTCTCGTCGCCGCCCCCCCCAGCCCCCCCCCCCCTCCACTCCAGCTCGCACGGGCTGCCCGCGTTTCTTCCGGACCGGCTGGAGTGAATGAGGAGGGGGCGGAGGGCGTGGGTGAAGAGGATAAGGTGGCTCCTCTCACCCCACTGCGCCAGCCCTCTCCAAGCGGCATGGAGATTTGGCCCAGACTCTTAGGCTCGCCTGGCACAGTGACAGTCAGTTCCAGGGAGCAGCCCGCCTAGAGAATGCAGATTTCCTAGCAGAGGATGTGCAGTTGGTGGGGTGGGGTGGTGTTTCTTTTCTAACACCCGGGCTCGTTACCAAAAGGGTTTGAGCGGCTAAAGGGCGAAGTGGGCCCCCTTCGACTTCGCAGGCCGGCAGACGTGACAGTAATGTGAAGGAAGTCAAGTTTCTTTGTCCATCCCCCGCCTCCTCCTCTTCTCCATCTTTAGACCTCGGGGGAACCTAGTGCATAGGAGGAAGCACCCAGCTGCGGATTCTGTAACCTCTCACCAAAATTCTATACATCCTCGACCTTGCAGTGGGTCCCCAAACCGAAGGGGAAGGGGAAGATAACCTAGCAATTAAAGAAAGGGTAGCCAAATCCCCAAGTGCCGAATAGCGCATCCTGGAAGCCTGGAAGCCAGATATTCTCTGCTAAACTCATTGTTTGGATCTTGGAATGTGTCTCCCATAGAAACAATGTTATAAACGGCGATCCTTTCCCAGGCCAGCCACAAATTTGCTGAACCCAAAGCGCAGCTGTGGGGTGGTGCTGGAAACGGCCCACTATACTGAACAAGAAGGCTACTGATCAGCTTTTCTACTGTGGAAAAAAAAAATGGATAAATGCATCTAGTTCCTTCCCCTTGAGCTATAAACACAAACCTGCTCCACTAACTTCTCTCCCTGGAGCCATTACTGTGTATTAGGTACGTGCTTTCCTTTGTAGGTGTCAGGACCCCAGGAGGAATGTACCCTGAGGATATGGGCGTTTCTTGGGTTAGAACTGCTGCGAGACCTGAGTAAATCTCCAGGAAGCCTTCTCCGAGGGCTCTTCTTCTCTTCTAACCTGGCCTTCCATGACCTCAGAAACAGAACAAAGGGTACCCATGACTCCTAACCGTAGGGCTCTAGCTTTGCTGTTCAAGACGGTTGCAAGGCAGTGCTAGAATCCCATTGAGTCAAGTAGCCATCTTATAACCAATCATTTGGCTTCCCACCAGTTAGGGGTACACTCCTAATACCAGAAATACTAATCCTCGGTCTTGTTTAAATCCAAATCTGCCAGGCCTGGTGGCACACACCTATAATCCCAGTGCTTGGGAGGCTGAGACAGGACTATGAATTTGAGATCATCCTGTGCTACATAGCGAGACCTTTAAAAAGCACCTCAGCTTTTTCTGAGTCACTGGAAACCCCTTTCTAATGGTCTTTTCCCGTATTGAAGCCACAGGAGAGAAGAATGGTTCCTCATCCTTCCAGAGAAGACAGAAGTGATGCATCTGGGCTGAGGTACTATTTCTCAATAGGAAACACACATTGGATTTTACCTTTCAACATTGCAGATTTTCACATGCTAAGACAGGAGGTTTACTGACTGTGAAAGCAGCAGAAGAACATTGTCTAAAAGAAACTGCCCAATAAAAATGGTACTAAACCGGGCGGTGGTGGCGCTCGCCTTTAATCCCGGCACTCGGGAGGCAGAGGCCCGCCTGGTCTACAGAGTGAGTTCCAGGACAACCAGGACTGTTTCACAGAGAAACTCTGTCTCGAAAAACCAAAAAACAAGAGAGAGAGAGAGGGAGGGAGGGGAGGAGGGAGGGAGGAAGGAAGGAAGGAAAGAAGGGAGGGAGGGAGGGAGGAAGGAAGGAAGGAAGGAAGGAAGAAAGGAAGGAAGGAAGGAAGGAAGGAAGCAAGGAAGGAAGGAACCAAATACTGGGATGTAACTCAGAAGGAAATCACATGCCTATCATGGGTAAGGCCCTGGGTTCCTCACAAGAGCCATGTTATGAGTTTAAAATTTCTAATAGCCATAAATACACAATATAGATAAATAAGTCATAAACACATAAATTATTCGTGAAATATTTTACATTTGATTTTTTTTTTTTTTTTTTTTTTTTTTTTGGTTTTTCGAGACAGGGTTTCTCTCTGTAGTTTTGCGCCTTTCCTGGAACTCACTTTGTAAACCAGGCTGGCCTCAAACTCACAGAGATCCTCCTGCCTCTGCCTCCCGAGTGCTGGGATTAAAGGCATGCGCCACCACCGCCCGGCTACATTTGATTTTTATAGTAAGGATAAAATGAGTGTGTTTATACTTCAGTACATCATAATTTAGATGCTAAATTCTCATTAAAAATTTCTCGCTGGGTGGTGGTGGCACAGGCCTTTAATTCCAGCACTCGGAAGGCAGAGGCAGACAGATCTCAGTGAGTTCGAGACCAGCCTGGTCTACAAAGTGAGTTCTAGGACAGCCAGGGCTGCACAGACAAATCCTGTCTCAAACAAACAAACAAACAAGCAAAAATTCTCTTTTGGATTTATGTATTTATGTATGTATATACATATTTATGTATGTATATAATATATATATGCGTGTAACAAAAATTAATAAAAAAAGAGGACATGAATTTGAAAGAGAGTAAGAAATTATATGGGAGGGCTAGTATGGAGAAAAGGGAAGGAGGAGATGATGGAACTTCATAATCCGAAAAAATAAAAGAAGAAATTCTCTACCTGTAGTTACATTTTCTAAAATTTCTAGTTGGAAAAGTAGACTCACATACCTAAGTAAGTCAAGTATACTCAAAACATACCTAGTATGGGTTGGGGATTTAGCTCAGTGGTAGAGCGCTTGCCTAGCAAGCGCAAGGCCCTGGGTTCGGCCCTCAGCTCCTTAAAAAAACAAAAAACATACCTAATAACTACACTGAGAAGCAATATCTAAATTTTAATTTGAGTTTTGAGTAAATAAAAATTCAGTTCCTTAAGAATTTGAGCCAGTCAACTGTGGCGCTGCACGCCTTTAACCCCAGCAGAGGCAGTCCGATCTAAGTGTTCGAGGCCAGCCTGTTCTACATAATGAGTTCCAAGCCAGTCAAGGCTACGGTGTGAGACTCTGTCTCCACAAAGAAAAGAAAATAGAAAAAAAAAAAAAAAAAAAAAAAAAACAAAGAAAGAAAGAGAACATAAGCCAACTCAATAGCTACATGTGACTTTCAGAAGCCTCCACAGCAGGATGGCACAGGGCTGGTGGCTTCCATAGTGGGTGAGGAGGCCCTCTGATGTCATTAGCAAAACCCAGGCAGAAATGCAGAACACCCACAGAACGAAAATCATTTTCCCAGTGTCCTATAGCTCTCGCTCTAGCATCTGGAGAGGTGGTGTGCCAGGAGATAGGAGGAGATGCTCCCCAAGATTACACGGGGGAGGTCCTGGGCCACCATATATCCCAGGGTACCGCAGATGGGCCAAAGTTGGCGCAAAGGTAGATTGTGAGGCGCAGGTTAGACTTGGGTGCAGGTCACTTACTTAGGACCCAGAAAGCAAGGATGGGGAGAGGACAGTGAGAATACAGACATACAGCCGGGGTGCATGAAGAGACAAGTTACTATTGCTGTGGGCATCGAGGGCGCAAGTCCTCAGGGTAAATACACCTTGGAGCTGTCCACTCCGAGGCTGGGGGACTGGGCGGTTTCTGGAAATCTGACCATTTGAGTACTGCTTCCAGCCTAGCTTACCTCCTCAGACCTCCTGACCTGTGTGTCCTTCGTTGGCCTCAAGGGAACATCTGAGAGAGAAAAGGGAGCTGAGGCTGCCGTCTCTGTGACGGGGCAGGACAGAGAGGTGGGAAATTAAGAGGACTCAGGAGGGGACAAAGCATCTTCCCTTGGGACCTGGCAGGGAGTCAGAAACTCTCTTTTGTCTTTTGTCTTTTGAGACAGCGTTTCTCTGTGTACCCCTGGCTGCCCTGGAATTCACTCTGTAGACCAGGCTGGAACTCCCAGGGATCCTCCTGCCTCTGCCTCCCGAGTGTTGGGAGTAAAGGCATGTGCCCCCACGCCCCTCAGCTTGTCTTAATCTTTAACCTTATTGTAAATCTTATCAGGGCTGTACCACGTAAGTCACAGAATCACACATACGGCCTAAGGACACACTTCTCTAGACACCTGTGTGGATTCCAAGCACATTCTCTCCTGTCTTAAAAACACACTGACTTTGCTTCCTCTGACTCCTTCTGAAACTCGATTTCAAGACATAGCCAGAGGTCTCACTTTACTTGAGCAGAGGGACCAGTGTGGGCCATGTTTCCCTATCACATCAACAGGACAAGTCACTGTGCCCGAAGGACCTAGAAGATGCGATACAGAACACACACGTCATCTGCTTTAAGACCTTGCCCAGAGAGAAGCAAGTGGGCTTTAGAGACTGGTTGGGGCTGGCAGGAAGGCAGGATGGTCTCTTGGCTACCAAGAGCTAGTCAGTGATACTGAGCCCTGAAGAGGTGTGGGGCACCCAGACCATAAGTTCCACAGTCATAGACATAAGCAGCAAATGTCAACTAACCTGTCAGGGTTGGGTCTACCATTCCTTGGCATCTGCTTTCAAGATAACTGTCAAAGCAGGACCTCTGGGAGTCTTGCGGGGATAGGGAGATTAAGAAAGGAAGACATACTCTCCCCAGGACCCCCTTGAAGACAGCTGGAAATGAAAAGAGAACTCCAAGAGGATTTTAACCTACAGAGATGAAAAGGATTATGTAAATGACTACATAACTGTATTCACCACCACTACCATCACCACCTCCACCACCACCACCTCCACCATCACCACCTCCACCTCCACCACCACCACCTCCACCTCCACCACCTC